CTGTGATGAGTGCTGTTGGTGGCACCCCGTGTCATCCCATGTGTTACTCACCCTGATACCCAGCCCAAACGGTACAGACTGATTTTCACTTACAGGATCCCTTAAAAACCCATTCCCTGGCCTCAGCGGGCAGAATAAGTAGTGTCCTTGCCTGATGGATGGCAGGGGGTAAGAAGCTAAGCGCCAAAGCTCACACTAACCAATCCCGGAAAAGGTCTGAAACAAGAACTGGGGAATTCATGTTGACTGCACTCTCCTTAGCCATATAACTCAGGAATAAATATAAACAAAATAGGCAACGGACATGGCCAGGACCCCAAGCTTGACCTTCTGGGCCCCATATGACTTGCACTGTGCAAGTAGGCAACGCTCCAACCAGCACTCCCCACCTGCCAGGCCCATCTGCTACAAGCTCACTGGCAGCCAGTAAGTCACAAATTATGACCTACGGGATTCCTAAAAAGTGCCAGCGGTCTTGGGGAGTAAGGGGTCAAGGCATGGGAAGGAAGACAAACCTTGTCTTACCCTGGGAGGACATGGGGGCAGTGCTCCCACTAATAAGATCAGTTTGGCTTAGACCCTGGTTAATATCAAAGAAGTTCTGAAAAGCACCAGTAAATCATGGAATATCGGAAGCATGAAATTAATCAGAGCCAGAAACTTGACTTAAGGGGTCCTCGGAAGGCATTTTCCAAAGACAATGGGAAGACAGTAAATAATAGGCAATCAATAACTAATTTCAACCATGCTGTACTGATCTGTAAGTAATCTCTTTGTGACCATGCATGGGGATTTTTGGGAAGAACTTTGAAGTCCCATCTCTTGACAGCCTAGCAGATGAGGAAGAGACACACGATTCTCTCGCCCCATTGGTACAGCCAGAAAACCAAGACGTACGTGACCCAAGCCCTATACGTTGGGGGCAAGCTAACAGGAGGCCTCAGAGATCCCACCTCATTTTGTTCCATCTTCTCTGCCATTTGAAAAAATCCTTTTTCGAAAAAAAAAAAAGAAGAAGTCTACTTGGGAAAACAAGAGCGTAGGTAGAATGAATTGGGAAGGGGATGCCAAAAGACAGAACTTATTTTGCAAAGCCACAGTGTCTAGCGTCTCTGCAGACTGCTCACACATTCAATTTAGTCCAGAGGTAATTCATACTTCACCGAAGAATTTCCAGTGTTGTAGTGATGCTACATAAGAACAGTCAGACCTGAAGTAACAGTCTATTTTAGCACCTAGGGAGAAAAAAAAATAAAAAACTTGCATCTACTTATGGAAATGTACCAAGGTGTAGAGAACGACCCTGTTCTCCATCCCCATCCTAACACATGCAGTAGGCTGCTTGCTAGTCCTCAACGCCCAAAAAAGACGCTATCAGCACTTCCACTCGCATCAGCATATAAATACAATTACTTCCAAAAAAAAAAAAAAACCCACAAACTAATAGCAGTAGGCATACATCCTACTAGGCACACGTATTTTATGGAATATACAGTTAACACCTATTTGTATTGGGTACAATGGAGCTTAATTGTTTTATTCTATGCATAGCAAAGCAACCAATTGAATCTAATATTAGTCATTCATCAGATAAAACATTTTCGGAGAAACAAACTGCTATATTTTCCCCTCAAAGAACAGCAAGCATTTTAAACACATTTTCCAGAGATGTTACGCCGAGGAAAACAGCTTAGAAATGTTACTTTAAACAAATCCGTTCTCTGGCTACCAACAACAAGACAAATTGGAACAAATGCTTGGCTCTGTTCTTTCCGAGGCTCCTTCTGTCCACCTGTCAAAGGCAGTTTTGACCCCCGCCCCCCAACCCAAGAGGCAGCTCCGGAGCTGTGAAATGTGCCGCCCTGCACGGATGCCCTCTACACTGTATGCCAGCATCCTCATTAGGGATTATCCAACTCACTCGAAGCAGGGAGAGAGGAGATGGGCTGGCTGCCAAGTGTTCTTTCAACACAGATTCCGAAAGAAGATCCTGCAAAGTGTCGAAAGCCCAGATTTTCAGCAGTTCACTTTCTAGACTCCGTTATGTAGCAACCATGCCAGCTCACACAGGGTACCAACCAAGTTAATATTTTGTTTAAATGACACACTGCATTAACTCTCTAGGAAAACCCAAGTTTTCTTCATTGACTCACCTACCGTCAGATACCATCGCTGGAACAAAACTCCCATGGCGAACTGATGAGCTCGCTTAATTCATTAAAGAAAATTTTTAACCAAAAAATTGAAGATAGATCTAACGAAGTCTTGGCGGGGAGAGCAAGAGGTGACTCTCCCCTGTAACCATTTGTGCTAATATTATTAAAAGTGCATTAGCATTCATTTAATATGTGCATAATGCCCTTTAGTAAAATACGACTTCTCCAGATGCATTTTGAAAGATACTCATTTCATTCAAAACTTTGATTCTGCAAAAAGACAACTCAATAGCAACCCAATGCTCCCAGGGTGTGGGCCCATGAAATCTCACCAGCACAGACAAAATTAAAACAGGAGATGAATTCGGAAGAACAGTCAGGAACCCCCATGAGCTGAGCTTCCAGGAGGTGTGTCATGAAGAAGCACGAGGAAACCAATCGGGCCGCACTTTAGAGTTCGCTTGAGAGAACCCCACGCTTTCCTTTAGGAACACGAAAGCGCCAGCTGAAGAAACCCACCGGACCATGTCTGCAGGGGGTTTCTGTTCTGGCAAAACGCTCCCATAGGTCAGGAGAGAAAACCAAAACAAGAAAATAAAAACAAAACCGAAAGAACTCACGGAGGCAAAAAGTACTAGTTTGAGGTACCCCTGTATAGACAAGTAAGTGATGCCCTATTGGATTATATGGCAGGGGCGGCGGGGTGGGGTGGCGGGGAGCTTGTTGTCTTTTCAAGCATCACCTTGGTTTAAATTCATCACATCAATTTAGAGGGATATGTGGCCAACGATTGAGTTAACCTTTAACATTTTTTTAAATCTTTTTTTAACCTTTAACATTTTATTCTCTGATTATGAAATCACTAAACTCCCCCTTGGTGGAGGTCGAAAAATATCAAGGATACACAGAGGGGAGAAAATCAAGACCATCCTTCATCCAACGGCCCACAGGCGGCTACCGAGGCGGGCAGTACCTCTGTGAGCACGAGGGAGATGCTGGTTTCGTGTGTTTTTAAGGATATGGGGAGATCCAAAAGTCATTCGGACAGCCTTGTGCATTTTTGTAGGAAAAGAGAAGAAGGAAACCGCCCACCCTTGCTCCACGACGACAACCATTTAACCATCAGCTAAGTATCTGCATTTCCAAGTTGGGCGCGTGGACCGCTGCCGTCCTGACCTCCTCAGCGTGCTCGCCCTGCAGCTGGACCCCGGGAAAGCCACTTAACTTTTCCCCAGTGAGGAAGGGGGCGGACGGTGGGGAATAAACCAGCACTGTTCAGCCCTCCCCACCGCGGCTTTTGATTCTTAGCAGAATGCCAGATCGGAGCTATTTCTCTAATGTTGGAAGAGTCTCTGCCGATAAAGAGTAAAGCATTACCGTGCAGTCTGGCTTCCTTTTTTTTTTTTTTTTCCCCTCCAGATGCCAGCGGAGAGCATCTTCCACACACAATGACAGAGCAAGAGATAAATGATAGAATAAGCCGATACCTACCTTGAAAACTGCAGCAAATAACGGCTTTCCAACACCTTCCCACCATTACATCATGGCTACTTCAGTACCCAATTCCCGCCCGGATTCCTGAGACTTCTGACCGACTCCCAAAGTCCCAAGTTCACGGGACTTGAGACACCAAGTAAGACCGATGTACAGCCTTAGGATCCCGCACCAGAAAAAAAGCACCCCTTCCCCGGGAAGGGAAGGAGCAACTAGAAACCGAGGGCAGAAGGCTTCGACACCAACACGGACACTCTCTCCACACTTAGGGGAAAGCTCTTGAAATAGCAACCAAACCAGAAAATTCCTCCTCCGAACCACTGAGCGATTGGTACCTCATACTTCACCGAGTGACATATTTATACAAGTGGCCCTGCTGGGCTGGATCGTGTTTCTCTGTCGAACTCTGGATTTCAGCGGTTTTGGTTTTATAATAGGAGATGATATTAATGATCAGTGATACCATTTCTTAAAGAGCAATTAGGCAAAAAAAAAAAAAAAAAAAAAAAAAGGAAAAGGAAAAGGCTGAAAGGCCAGTCTGCCCTTTTACTTTCCAATCCACGGAAACCAAACAGGACATTTTGGGATGCTTCCTCCACCTTTAACCCTCCCCGGCGCTTCAGGGCTTCATCACTGTCAATGTCAACACGGTCCAGCTGTCTCCCCCCACCTCCCTGCCCCATCCCCATCCTCTAAAGTGCAAACAGTCCCTTCCAGCAGCGGCTCCCCTGCACCCCAGCACCTCAGCCTTCCTTTCTCCAGGAGCCCATCACTCAGCCTTTGAGGTCTAAGATTTCCCTCTGCAAAGTGCTCTCCTGTTTATATTTGCTGGAAATCGAAACTCCCTGCTGAGCAGAGCATCTACTGTTGCATCGCTGTGTTCCGCTGTCTGCAGGATCTCAGGTGTGTGTGTGTGTGTGTGTGTGTGTGTGTGTGTGTGTGTGGAGGGGGAATAAAGTCCAGATGTAATCGAGCCCGGGGATTCGGCCTCCGTGGAGAAAAGTGCGAGCCGGTCCAGCCCTGTACCCCAACCGAGCTCGCGGTCGCCCCGGGGCGCGGGGGTGCGGGAGGCGCTGCGGGCGCTGCGGGCGCTGTGCGCGCTGTGGCTCCCCACCCTCTCCGCCTTCCCACGGCCGCGGGTGGGCGCGGAGGCCCCCGGGCATGCAAAGTTTGCCCACGGAGCCGGGGGGGCCGTGTGCCTCCCGAAGGGCACTTGCACGCGCGGGAGGGGCGCCGCCCCGGGCCCCGTGCGACCGCGTGGACCCGGAATGACAGCAGCCTGCAAGCGCTGCACCGCGCGGCGAGCTGGCCCGGGCGCCCCGCGCGCCCCGAGCCCTCCCCCGCCCCTACCTTGCGCGCCGAGCTGCTGGCTCTCCATGTCCGCCGCCGCGCCGCCGCCGCCGCCGCTCCCGGGCCCGGGCCGCCGCCGCCGCCGCTCAGCTCCGCCAGCCTCCGGTTGGTGGCCGTGAGCTCGGCCCGCAGGTTGGTCACCTCCTGGCTGGCCGACTGGACCGCCCCATCGATGCGGAGCGCGAGCTGCTTATTGTCTTCCATCATGCTCAGGATGCTGGCCTGGGGGCGAGAGAGGTGACAAAGAGCTGCATGATGCGCGCGCGCTGGGGGGGCGCGGCCGGGCGCCCCCGGCTCTACCTGTTGGGCCCCCCGCGGCCCGGCTCCCCCGCGCCCCGACCCCCAGGCTCCGGCAGCGCCGGCTGCTCGGGCGCAGGAATGACAGCGGCGCCTCCAGCCGGAGCCGCGGCGGTAGCGAGGCGGCGGGGGAGGAGGAGGAGCCCGAGGAGGAGGAGGGGGAGGAGGGGGAGGAGGAGGAGCGGAGCTCCCGAGACCCCGGCGGGCGCCCAGCGCGGCCGGGAAGGACACCGCGCGCCCGCGCCCCACTCCGGGGCCGGAGCCTACCATCGCCGCGCGCTCCGGAGGGGGCCCGGGCCGGCAGCGGGGCGCACCCTCGGCCCCCCGCGGCCCCCGCCCTGGGGACACCCTCCCCGGGGCGCGGGGGAGGCGGGCGGCGGCCCCCGGGGGCGCGAGGGGGCGCCCCCCGCGAGGGGCAGGGGGCGCGCGCGCGGCGAGGCCGGCCCTGGGTCCCCTCCCCGCAGCGGTGGGGCGGCCCCCGCCCGGGCCAGCAGGCGCCCCAGCACCCTGGGCAGCAGGGCCGGGCAGGGCCGGGCCGGGCCGGGCAGGGGGTGGGTGCTCCGGGGACAGGGGTGCAGGGGAGGGGGGCGGGGACGCAGCTCCGGGAGGGGACGGGGGGGGGGGGGGCGGGCAGCCGGGCTTCACCTCCTGGAGATGCGCGGGGACTGCGCTAGGGGAGCCCAGCTGGTGCCCCGAGTGCCCTCCCCCCGCCCCCACCTGCGCTGGCGGCCCTCCCCGGAAGGAGCTCCCCGCCCTGCCCCGGGGTGCCCCACAGACCCGAACCCCTTGGTCTGTGCACCCGAGCCAGACAGCTGGCCTCAGCCAGGTCCTAAGCTTCCTAGCTTTGGCTACATACTGGGGGGCGGGGGGTGGGCAACAGGGCTGAGAAGGAGACTGGAAGCCCCCCGCCTAAAAAAAGGGCCTTGCCCCCTTTCTCCTGGGAGCGCTGACGCCCTGCTGCCTCAGTTTACCCATTCCCTCTTCACAGGAGAACCCTAGGTTACCTTAAAGTTGATAAACCCATCTGGCTCCTCTTTGTCCCAGAGCACAAGGCTTTGCATTTTTTCACTGGGGCCCTGGATTCCAGCCACCAGACCTTGTTACCATAGCAAGCTTCATTCCATGCAAATAGGACAATTTAAAACAGCCAGTGTAACCCCGAGGACAATAGTGCACCACCATTGGAGCTCAGTCAGTCAACCTCCGGAGAGAGTCCTCCGGCCCGCCCGCCGGGAGCCTGCTGCAGGAGCGGAGGGGATGGCGGGCGCCGGCACAGGCTCAAGTTGCCCACCCTTGGGAGGTACCGGCGGCATCCACCAGGTAGGAAGCCTACTGTGCGCAGAGGGCTCAGGCTGCATGGTCATCTCTTTGGAGTAAGGATTAGGGATTCTACTTTGGAGATGAAGAAACTGAAGCTCCAGGTGGGGGGGGGGGGTGCGTTTTAAGCGATTGACCCCAGGGACCCGCAGAAATCAGGTGGAACCGAGACCGGAAGTAAGCGGTCATCTGATTTCCAATTAGTCCCACTGTGCCTTGGATGCTAGATTTTTATATGGAACCATAAAAACGCACTCTTGCTCCAACCCCCTGGGGCCACTAACAAGCTTTTGCAACAGGGCAAGGCGGTGTTGGTGGAACATGTGGCAGCCGGCAGCATTTTTCACTGTCTCCTCTACCGAGCTAACTGCTCAGCTGGGGATTGAACCCCTGACCTGAGTCTCATTAGCGGGAATTCTGACCCCACCGGACCAACCAAGAAACTTAGGCTGCATGGTATAGCTGTAAAATCAGGATTCGGTTCTTTGAAGTCCTTTGGTTATATTATGGAGGAACCTCAAACGAGGGGCGGTCGTGGTTCAGCCACTATGGGAAACTATGGGTTTGGTTTGGTGGTCCCTCAGAAAGTCAAACACGGAATCGCATTATGACTGAGCAATCACACTCCTGGGTAGACAGCCAAAGAGGTGAAAACAGTTATCCGGACGGAAGGTCCTACACAAATGTTCAGAGAAGCGCTACCCACCACAGCCAGCAGGTGGAAACAGCCCAAACGTCCTACCACAGAAGATTGGATAAACAAGTCGCGGTATGTCCATACAGTGGGGTACTACTCAGCCATGAAAAGGAATGCGGCACGGACACCTCCCACCATGTAGATGGAGCTCAAAAGACAGTATGTTAGGTGAAAGAAGCCGCACGCAGAAGGTACCAGGATTTCATTTCCATGGAATCCCCAGATTAGGTAAGTCCAAATAGACATGCGTGCCGGGGGCTGGGGGAAGAGGAGAACGGGAAATACCTGCTTAATGGGTACTGGGTTTTATTCTGGGGGAGGTCAGGAAACAGTTTAGAAATAGAGGTGGTGGCCGCACAACATTATGGACGTACTAGATACCATTGAATTGTTCGCCTTAAAATGGTTCACCTCGGGGGTGCCCGGGTGGCTCGGTCGGTTAAGTGTGTGACTCTCGATTTCAGCTCAGGTCACCAACTCAGGGTCCTGAGATCGCGTCTCAAGTCTGGCTGTGTGCTGGGCATGGAGCCTGCCTGAGGTTCTCTCTCATGCTTCCTCTGCCCCTCCCCCCCCCTTAAAAAAGGTTCATTTTATGTTATGTAACTTTCGTCTCAATAAAGACAGAAGTCAGCACATGTGCAAGTACCGGTAACTGGGGTGGGGGGGAAGGGGTGTCCTGGGAACAAAGTTTCTGGGGCGACAATCAGGAGCAGCTCTGCCTGGAGAGCTCACCGAGAGCTTCGGCGTGGGAGAAGGAGGGGGGTCGGCGTTCATGCGTCTTTGCACCCTTGCCACGTAACCCGTGTGAGCGTGTTCGTACCGTAAACAAACTGACCAAGTGTTACTCATTTTCCTCTCCAGTGAGATTATTCCCACCCACCAGAATCTTCAAATCAAGTCAAAACAAAATACAACAACAACAACAAAAATCTAACAAGGAGGAAAGAAAGCAAACACCCATTCCTTGAGTTCCTCTCTCTCTCTCTCTCTCTCTCTCTCTCTCTCTCTGTGCCTCCTCTTCCCCGGTTGTAAAACAGCCATTGAAATGTCAAGAAACTCACTTTAGAAACTCCTGGGGTGCCTCCTAGGATTTTAAAGAATTTTATTTTTGAGAAATTGCTTCTTAACATGAAAAAGGGGGCTTTTAGCAGCTGTGTCTCCTTATGTTCACCCACGTGCAAAAGGACCAGATCTCAGACAGAAAGTCTGGGATCAATTACCCTCTAGAGTCTACTTGATTTAAACCAAAAAGATGACTAGTCTCCCTCTCTCCCGCACCCCAGCTTCCACCACCGCTCCTCCCCAGGTGATCTCAGGTAACAAAACGGTCCCAGAACCCACGTCTCTGCCCGCCCGCCCGCCTCCCCGCAGGCTCATGTGCGTTTACGACTCATTTCTTGGGAGACACATATGAACTTGGGGGAGGGGCTCTGGAGCTGTCTCTCAACCACAGCCCCCCCCCTCGGGGGCTCACAACTGTGAGCACGTGACAGTGCTCGTTCCTAGAGTAGCCCCGGCCTCCCGGCCCAGTGAGCTGGTGTTGAGAACCATGCTGGGAAATGGGCTTGCTCCATAGGGATCTCCTCCCATTTCCCCGCTGCCGTCTTTCCCCATCAACCAGACCCCATCCGAGGCTCGCTCAGGCCTTGCCCGCCGGCCCCTGTGCACTCACCAGCCTCTACCAGTATCTGCCGAGCGCCTCATCTTCTTGAGCATCATTCTGAGCAACTGTGCCATGTGCATTTGGTGCCCTTCAAAGCTTACCTGGGCATTTTGGAAAGTCCGCAAGACCATCCTTACTCAGAGAAAGAAATATCCTAATCAGAACCAAGGCAGAGAGCCTAGCCCATCGCCGACAGCCGTGTCATGTGTACCTCCCTTCTCCCATAAATAGAATGGCCTTATAATTTAATGTCCAAACTGGAACACTTCTGAGGGCCAACGAGGATGTTAGGAATAATGAAGCTGGGACAAGTGGCATATATCGGAACTGTCCCCGGGAAGCCAGTACGTGTGGTTGCACCACCCAGCAACCAAATGAGGCTACCGGGTCCTGGAAGGCAACGTTGGGTTCATTCATTCCAGCATTCTCCTTGTATAATGATGGATGGAGAAACAAGGACCCAGGGACAGGGAGGGACCCTGAAGCCCTGTTGGTGAAGGAGTTGGGAGGGATGAAGAGCCGAGTCCTTAGCACATGACCCAGCATCCTACTAATGTGTACCCAGCATCATGGACTGTTGGGTTCATACTGAACTACTTACTGGTTCCAGGTTTCTAGATTTGAAGGCGTGAGCTCACGGCCTTGTGCAATCTGGCCTCTGACCTCACCGTGTACCCCTCTCCCCTTGCTCACTACCCTCCCGTCCGCTTAATTCTTTTGTTAAGATGTAGACCTCTAGCCTCAATGTCTGACCAACCACAGTCTCTGAGGAGGTGCCAGGGATCCGCATTTGCAGCAACTGCTTCCCGGGAGCATCTAGTGCACCATGCCGAAGCTGGAGACTCACTGCCCTGGGCACCCAGGGCAGGTGCTCAGAAAGCACCGCGCACACGCGTGAAACACATAAATGCGAGGAAGCCTCGGGACGGCAGGAATGCCTGCAGGGCTCCCGGCTCCCTCTCTCCTGGATGCTTCCACCTGTCTTCCCCACCCCCGTCCACCCGAGAGTCCCTCGGGAGCCCCCCTCCCTCCCTGCAGATGGATGCTCTGTTTATTACAATGGTCACGTGCAAATCCCGGCCAATCTGGGAGTCGTATCTTTTGTTCATTCACACGGTTGACTTTGGCTGAGTGGGGTTTAACAGGTGCTCGGGAAAGGGCAAAGCATCTGCCAGACGGGGGCAACCGGAACTCGGGCCCCTGGGCAAGAGGACGAGGAAGGGGCCAGACCTGTACACAGAGAGTGTGCCCACCGTGAACCCCAACAGCTA